AAAGTAGAGGAAGATGGGCACGGATGTTAGCTCAGGGCCAGTCTTCCTCAGCAAAAAGAGGAGGATTGGCAGCAGTTAGCTCAGGGCTAATCTTCCTCACAAAAAAAAAAAGAAGCAGCCCACGGATACTCTGGCCCAGAACAAGGGAGAACTTTGGGGTGTGGGGCAGGTGTGTTGAGGAATGGGGAACTTAAATACATCTCTACTCCAAGAAAGTAAGTTGAAAATGAGAATTCTTGTAAGAATGATATTCCCTACGAGAGGATGTGTGCTAAAAGACATGAAAGTGAGAAAAGCTCTACTATTAGTAACCATTTGAGTGTAAGCAGTTGTTCCCCACTCTAAGAATATCCCATGCTACCCACCAAGGGGCATGCATTTCCCACCAAATTCATTAATTAGTCCTCTGATAAGTTACAGGCCTGGTACTTTAGTGTGCCTTGAATGGTTAATGGAAACTTTGGTTGCTCATTCCTCTTTGGTATCATTACCAAATGATACCATTTGGTAAATTACCGTTCAGGTAATTTGCACACTGTGATATTTTACCATTCCAGTTCCAAACACTCAGTCAAATAGGCCTCCAATGTAATTTATACACAGAACTTATATTCGTAATATAGTTTTACTTGTACAGGAATAGCAGTAACAATCATATATAAAAATAGCAACCTAATATCTACTTCTAGTAGCAATGTGATTGCATGCTTGTATTAAACCATTTCCCTCAATCATATGGTGTGTCACAACTCCCACCTGTACCCCTCTTATCAATAAAAGCAACCATGTGACATACACATGGATATGCCTCTCTATAATCTCTGTTCCACTTTCCTTCCCTTTCCCACTCTGGGTTGCTGGTCTTGAGACAGCTTGTTTTCTTTCACCTGATCCTGGAATAATCACATACGCTCCCTGAACCTTCCCACACTAGGTCCACACTTGCCTCCCCGGGACAGATAGATGGATTTCCCCGTGTTCAAAACACCCTCATTTATTCAGAGGGGAGGAACTGACAGGCTTTCTGACTAGGCCTCTTCTCCACCCTAGTCAGAGGGACTTCACCTGGATATTCCAGGGTGAGTGAGTCCAACACCACCTGACATACCAGGTTCATTTCTTTTCATTAAGAAAAAGAATTTCATGACTAAACTTAAAATGAAGGGAAAGTCAGATTCCATAGTACATGGGGGAAAGTCTTTATGACTCTTAAGAATTAAAGTTACTCTTCAGCCTCAGGTTGACTTTCTACTCTGCCTTCCCTGTATTATTCTCTCTCTAAAACTGCAAGAGAAAATAAAATATGGGAACAAAAGATGAACAGGAAACAGAGAGGAAAGGTACTCACCATTACTGCCAGCTGCCTATAGGCCTTCTTCAGTTCAACATCTGATGCTGTGGTTTCAACCCCCAACACATGGAAAGGGTTTAGCTCATCCTCAGGAACCCCAGCCATAGTCAAGAGTCGAGCCACTTCCTCTTCAGGCTGGCAGTAGCGCCCACTAGCTACAGGTGCATTCCCCTGCCTGTTAGTCCTCTGCTTGACCCAAGGCAACTCCAGCCAACCCCATTGAACTATTCTCACCAGCTGCTGCCATGGCCTGCTGTCTCTCAGCAGAACCAGGCAATGTTGCAAGGTGGGAGAATCCAGCCAAGAGAAGAGCCAGGTGGCTTTACCCCTCCAGCCTAACCGGTCACCCAATCCCACCAGAAACCGCCAGCCCAACTGTAGACAGCCCAACAAGAGGGCCAGAGCCAGGAGCAGCAAAGCACCCAGTAGCCTAAGAAAACGGGTGAGCAGCCCTGCCCCACAGCAAAACCCCTGGCTCAGAAATTGGAACATCACCTGGGCCCAGCCCCCCAGCCGCCTTGCCCAGACTCCCACCCAGACTCGAAAAAGGTCCAGATCACTGCCTTTCAGCTGCCTGCATGCATAGATGAGATGGCCACAACTTTCTACATACTCTCCCACCAATACCAGCAGTTCAATCAGCCACCAGAAGCCTGCCTGCCCAAGCTGACACAGTTCCTCTGCTCCCCACAATCCCAAGCCTCTGCGCTTATCTGCCTGACTTCGTTTCCGGCCCAGCCGATGTCGACCAGGGGACCTGGGATCTCTGCGACCACCCTCCCGAGTATCCTCCTTGGCCTGAACACGGTGCCGCTGTCTCCGGGGTGGAGGTTTCTTTCCACTGGACACACGTGAAAAATCACTGGGGAACTTAAGAGGTTCTTCATCATCGTATTCCTCTTCCAACTCTTCATCTTCCCCCAAAGCTGGAGAGGTACACTGGTGGCAAAAGTTGCTAGAAGAACTCTCTCCTCCCTCAGAGTAAGGCCCTTCAGAGATTCCAGGGGTTCCCTGGCAGTTGCAAGCAGATGGAATGGAAAGAAAAGAAGGGTTCCCATCTGCCTGGTACCCAGCCTCATTCTCTCTTGAGAGTTCCTGGTCCACTCCTGACTCTTCTTCTGAAGATGCCTCACTCTGATCAGGGTCTTCACCATCCTTAGGGGGTCCTGGACCCCTTGGGGGGCCATGGCTTGGATCCGACCAGTGGGCTGGGTTTGGGGGCTGTGTGTACTTAGGACTAGAGTGCTCTGTGAGGCAGCGGGTACCATTAGGAGCAGGCTCCGCTGAGTCCCTGAGTCCTGAGAATGAAAGTATTTCAGGGTCCACAGAGGGTCCTAAAGTCCTGAGGGAGGCACCACCACTGTGGTGGGCTCCACACAACCCTCTTTCTCCGGGGTACTTCTGGGCCATAACCCCGGGGCTTCCTGAGGATTTTAGGTCACAGCCATCATGGTAAGTTCTGATGCCTGTAACAAAGGTAGCAAGGTGGGGATGATCAAGAGAAGGAATAAATAATCTTAGATTGAGAATATATTTAATGCACCCATCTCCCTTGTTTTCCCAAGTTCTTTTGGGGCATTCATTACCGCTAGCAATGAGACAATACTACATTAACCACAACCCCGATCCTTCCCTCCCCCACCCCAAACCCCCTTACTCTTCTTTCCCCAGAAAGCTATAATCCTGAATCAGGGCAAGAGAGAGGTACCGCAAAGGGTGTGGTCCTGGGGTCACTCTTGGGAAAAAGGCAAAGACGGCCGGAAAGGGGGGCCGCACGCTGCCAGAAAAGGGTGGGGACCGTGCGGCCCTTTAAGAAAACCTGGGGGCGGAGCTTGGGGGGGGTTGCCCGAGAGAGACAACCCGGGAACCCTCGGGCTGGGTAGAGGGGGTGAAGGTAACTTACCGAAAAGCGGCGGTAACTCCTCCCCCTCGAGCAGCTGGGCCTAGGGCCAGGGGGAGCTACGAGAGCAGCTCCCCCGGCTCCGCCTCCCGCTCACGCTCTGCTTCCGTCTTCCGTCCCCGCCGCGGCCGCCGAGCTACGCATACTTCCACTTCCGGGGTCACCAGGGAAGAGACGGGAAGAAAAAGAAAAAGCGGTTGGCGGAGGCGCGAGCCCGATCAGCCGGCGCTGAGTCAAATCAGAGGAGGCGGTCCTGGAGAAGCACTGGCCCCGCCCCTTAAAGGGCCCTCTGCCGCAGGCCTCCGCTCGTGCGAGGTGCACCGCGAGCTGCACCGCTGGAAGCGAAGCAAGTGGGTGCTGCAGCAGCGCCTGCGGACTAGGGGCAGATTCTCAGGCTTCCTCTGGCTGTATTCTTGGGTTTTGCCGACACTGGAAGATAGAGGACAGCCACCGAGCCACAGTGTTGTTTCCCTTGCAGACAGAACCAGGGAGCGTAGAGGAGCCACTGCCCTGATCCCTTCCCGGCTGGCTGTAGCGAAGACAGAGGTCCTTTTGTATCATGCGGAGGTGGGGCGGAGGGGAGGACGCCTCGGGCCAGCCCCCGCCCTGGCCCTTCTGCGCTGCGCCTCCTTTCCTAGCAACCCTCTGCCTTCCCACGCCTGACCCAGCTGGCGAACTGCCCCGTATAACTGCAGCTCCCACGGCCTAGATCTGCCCCTCTGGACGCAGCTACCAGGCCCCGTCACGGAGCAGGGCTTGGGGACTGGGAGCCTAGTTCCGCTGGGCTCAAGACCGGAGAGAAATGCCAAAAAACACTGCACTTATCTGCATGCTGCTTTGCATCTCATTTGCATACCGAGCTGCTCAGTCGACGTCTACACGCGCCCCCGCCCCCACGCGGACCAGGCTTGGGTTCCTTCTCTGTCGGTCCCCTCCTCGACACACCCCTCTTTTGTTAGTCCCCCCTCCAGACCCCGTCTTGCTCAGCAAATTTTTCCACCCATGAACCCCTCGCCGGCGCCCCTACACCAGCAAGAGCCCCTTCCCCGGGTCCCCGATCCCGACCACCAGATTCTCCAGAAGACAATACTCCAATTCTCTGGGAAGTGGAAGAAACCAAGCCGGAGCTAGGGGTGCGCAGGGACCCCAGTTGGGGCTTTGAGAGCTTCGATTGTCGAGTCATCGCCCAAGTATTCAGAGATCTTTCCCCGAAACCTCTTGCAGTGCCCCCAAGACCCTTCCCTGCTATGGTTGGAGGAGTCTCTCGTCCCAGGCTAGAACTGTAGGCAAACTGGGTCCCCCCCACACACAGGGGAAAGAGTTGGAGGGGCCCGCCCCGTGATGTCACCCCCCCCCCCACACACACACACACACCCTGTCCCCTTCCTCCACCCCCCAATCTGGTTGCATTTAGCTCACGGGGCTTGGGCTACAAGTTGCAGGAGTTTAGTGGGCCACGAACAGAGTGGCCCTGGGGGTGCCCACGCCCGACAGCCGCCCCATCGTCTAGGACCTCCGGGCAGGGATGCAGCTGGGGGTCTAGGGAAACACTTCTACCCCGTCCTCTCCTCAGCCCTGGCAGGGTGGTGAGTAGTTAACACCCCCACCCCAACCTCTCCTTGTTTAGGGTCCCCAGACTTCCAAGCGGATTGAGGAGAGGAGCCCCAGGGATTTCCCAAGCCAACCCTCCAGCCTGTTAGGACCTTGATGTCCAAAAGAAGACAGCTGAAGGAAGGTGCCTGCATCCACCATACCCGACTCCCACAGTGCCCCAATGCCAGCCCCTCCTTGGTCTTCTCCTCCTTTCAGGAACTGAATTCAAATCCCACTGGGAGCCCTGACACCCCTGGGGAAAGGGAGGGGTGGAAAAATCCCACCAGTGTCCTGAGGGGAGGAGCAAAAGGCTACCAGGATGTGAGATGTCTGTGGGCAAGGTGCCCGCTTAGTTCGTGAGGGGCCATGGGAGCTGGACTGTGGCTGTATGCCCCTTCCCCCAGCAACTCCATCTCTGCATGAAGCCGAAGCTTCAAAACCCTGACAAAGTGTGGGTGACTGTCTCTACTTGAGTCTTTGTCCCAAACTCTTTTGGTGTCTGGTTTTTTTCCTCTCCGCCTTCCCTGGGGTTGGAGCAGTTGTTGAGAGACCCCACTGTGACTCATTCCCTCCTCTTTCTCCTCCTTCTCCCCTCTCCATTGACCCCACCCTTCCCAGTCCAGTGGAGCAGTATTGAGTCCCAGCAGCAGATGGGGCAAGCTTTCTTTTCAGCTGGAATAGCCTGCTGGGCCTTTAGCCCCTAGTTCCACTAGTTCCCCTGGGCCCCTCCCTCCACAGACCTAGGACTTTCCAACTCCTCCCTGGAAAGCTGGGAGGCAGACAAAAGCTCATTACCTTAGATTTTCGTTTAACTGTTACTTAGTGTCCTTGTTTCAGAGGATGATAAAGAGACAGCTGGCTCCCCTCAATCCAATCCTGTAGATTTCTTCAGTTACCCTGCCAGGGCCATGCTCCCTCCTGAAATTGGCCCTTCTTCAAAAGGAATAGCGGTACAGAGTCCTTCGGATACATGGGCACCTGAGTTCCGGCTCCCTACCCTCTTGCAGGTTTCCAACCCCCTCAAGACATTCATGGATGGGTGAGAGGAGCTGACACTGACCTCCCACTCTGTGACCATCTTCTCTTCTGCCATGGAGGAAGGCTTGCTGCCCCTGGCCATGACCTCTGACCCCAGGTCCTTTAATCAACAACTCCCAGAGCCTCCAGACCCAAGATGTGTCTTGGAACCCCAGGACAATCCTGAGTTGGCACCTGCCCTGGTGTGTGCTCTTTGCTGCTGCTTTGGAATCATCTACTGCTGCTTCGGTGAGAGCAGGGCCAGGGTTCCAGGGGGCAGCTGCCCAAGACTGTCACCCTCAAGGATGATGCCAACTTTCTCCATTGCTCCTGGGCCACCTCTGCTCCTCTATCAGGGAATGTCTACCTTCAGTGTGAGCCATGCTGCTCTTGCCAGCTCTTCTTGTCCGTCTCCCACACCCATGCCCTCCATCTCTGACACCCCCCCACCCCTCTCCACCACCACCACACCCCATACCCCAACAACTATCAACTTGCCTTCCCCCTCCCTCCTACCTCAAAACTCCATTCCCAAAGTATCCTCTATGCTTATGGTTTCTTTACCCTTCCCCAATAACCCTGAATCAGCCCATGCTGATTTCTTCCCATCTACCGTCTCTGGAAGGACTAAACCTTCTTTCTATACTTGCTCCCCTCAATGCATCCATCTTACCTCCTGAGTTTCCCTCCCGTCCCCTCACAGTTCCTGAAAAGTCTCTGCCTTCCCTGAGATGATTCCTTTCTGCCCTTGCCTTGAGGTCCCTGGGTGTGCTGCTCCTGTCTTCTGCTCCTCTGGTTAGCCATTCCTCTCCCTTCTAATTCATCAGAGCTATCCCAATAGACACCCCCTTCCGTCTCTCAGTGCCTCCTGCCTCCCTTCCCAGGCTACCGCTGCTTCAAGGCAGTGATGTTTCTCTCGGGCCTGCTGTCAGGAGCTCTGGTGATCTTCCTGCTGTGCCACAAGGAACGAGTGCTAGAGACACAGCTGAGCCTGGAGGTGAGCGCGGGCATTGCGCTAGGCATCGGACTCCTCTGCGGCCTGGTCACCATGCTGGTTCGCAGTGTTGGGCTCTTCCTGACTGGTCTCCTGCTAGGCCTAACCCTGGGTGCCGGGGTCCTTCTAGGCACTGAGCCCATCTACCAGCCACCTTCAGCCTGGGTGCCGGCCGGGGGGCTGGTGGGGCTGGCATTGCTGGGAGCCCTGCTCACGCTTCGATGGCCACGTCCATTCACAGTTCTGGGCACAGCCCTGCTGGGTGCTGCAGTGCTGGTGGCCTGTGCTGACTACTTCCTGGAGGGGCTGGCACTGGGCCGTCGGCTAGGCCAACGCTTGCAGGCACTTCCAGCCTTGCCTCCTCTCTGCTGGTATAGCTGGGTCTTGCTGGGGACCTGGCCAGCCCTCGGGGCCCTTGGGGCCCTGGCCCAGTGGAAGCTCATGGATGAGGAACATGGAGCCCACGCCAATGGTGAGTTAGTGCCATGGGACAGAAGCAGCTAACCTGTGCCTTGTGATGTCCCCAGTTCCCAGACTTGAGGAGGAGAAGGGAGAAAATACACTTGAGGGAGGAGGGCGGAGGTGTCTACGGTGGATGGGGCAGGGCATTGAAAGAAAGTTAGAGTTGGAGGAGCCCAAGGTCTGAGTAAGAATGAGAAGAGAAATTGTCAGAGGGAGCAGGGAAGAGTTATCAGGAACTGTTATCGAAGGAAAGGAAGATCTCAGAGAAGTCCGGGAGGAAAGAGTAGAAGGATTCCAAAGAAGAGTTTCTTTTAGAATAACTGGTGGGGCTCTGAGCCTTGAGAGAGCCGGAACAGAGAGATCAAGTGGGTTTCTCCAGAGTGTGAGTGTGTTTGGGGGGTAGGATGCAGATCTAAAGAGGCCTCCCTAAGTCTCTCTCGCCCCCTCCCAAGCAGTGGTCTTGAGCCACCAGCGAAGGCATCTCCAACTCCTTCGGATCCGTCAACAAGAGGCCAAGTGGCACCGAACCTCCCCTGGGGTGGGGCTCTGTGAGGGCAGCTACCGGCGCCAGCTCCCCCACAATGCCCGGAGCCCTGCTGACAGTCTGGCTCCAGTGAGTAAGAGGGGAAGGGTAGTCTGGGGGATGGGGTAGAGGGCACATGGGGATGGTCAGGGTGGGAGGGGGCTCTGACCCAGGCCCTTTCCTCTGCCCTCTCTGCCCCGTGCCCCTCCAGAGTTATCTCCAGAGCCTTCGAGAGCGCCAACTAGGACCAGGCACCCAGGCAACAGCCCCCTACACTGTCCTGGACCTGGATTCTGACTGTGGTTCCACTGTACCCCTCACCACACCTTCTGGTTCCACCCAGACCTGAGCCTAAACCTCCACTGATGCCCCCACCCCTAGCAAGGGCCTGGGAATACTAGGTGGGCAGGGCCTGAGCCCACAGGACCCACACACAAACTTCCCCACCTCTTGGATCGGGGTTAGAATCTGTGCTCTAACCCAGACCAGCCCTGTAGGGATATGTTTCAGGGACAGACAGAGAGGAATCCTGTGGGGAAAGGAGAAGAATGGAAGTATGAATACCTACCTCTGGCCAATAACAGAGGTGCCCTGGTCCCAAAGTAGCACTCTCTCTAATTTCCTCCAAACCTAGGAGGCCCTTACCCAAATAGCTTTTTATATGCCCACCTCAGTGTGCCTCATAATGGTAAAATAAGGGGTTTTGTTTTTTGTAGGACCTATAGAAAATCGGGAAGCCTCCTAAAGCACTTAATAGCTTTTTTGGGGGGAGAAGGGCACAGAGGAGCGCCAGGACCCTTTTAATCCCCAGGCCCCTCATTAGGGGGTAGTTGGGTTCCTGGCCAGCCTTTCGCCCGGACCTTATAGGCCCAAGGCCCCTTCTTCTACCTCAGTTGGGGGTCCTGTCCTCCATGGTGCTTCTCTTTCCTTAACATGAAGAAGACCATGGGGCAGTGCCTGGCTCAGCACCCGCCTCCCCCAAAAACTGGCTTCTTCCTCCAAGGAGAGAGCATTGACCTGCATGCCAGAGTCTAGCCCTTTTGCCCAAAGGAGCCTGGTCTTTGGGGCTGTGTGAGAGACAAGTGCCTTCTCTGCTTCGCATTGGGAGTGATACATATCTCCTCCTCAACCAGAACTTTGCCCCAGCCACTAACCATTCTAACTCTCCCCACTCTGATTCTCCTGCCCAAAGTCTGTTCCCTGATTCCCTAGACAGCAGGAAAGAAGCTCTATCCCTCCTCTGGGCAGCAAGGCTATGATGGGAGGGAGGAAGAATGTGGGAGCATGTGAATAAAATGGCGTTGAACACTGAACCAGGGAGTCTGGTCTCTACTGTTGCTGCTTGTTACTTTCTTTGCACCTCAAAACAAAGTTAGCCAGACTGACAAGTCCTCTGTCCCCTAAAGCCCTGATAAGGGTACCTCTGTCACATTGGACTACTGTACACACAACTACACACACACAGCCAGAGGAAGAGCTGTTCAGTCCTCTCTTTTGAACATGGAATTAGCTTTATTAAGCACAAATGTGCCAGGCACCTCACATGTAGTATTTCATTTAATGCAACAACTGTGCAGAATTGCTATTAACATTTTGCAAATGAGAAATCTGAGCCTCAACGAGGTTAATTAACTTGCCCAAAGTCATAAGCAAGTAAATGTGATTCTCAAGGATTCCAAAGCCCCTGCTCGTTTTACTGGCCATGCTATTTTCTTGCACTTTATCTAGGGAGAACAGGACCCAGGCATCCGGCTTCCCAGCTGTTGCCTGCTGTGAGCTAATGGCCTGGTTGATGCCTTCCCTCTGTCCTCCAGAGAGTAGATAACTCAGTCAGAAGTGTCTCGAGGACGGGGAAGAAGTAAATGGAGTTGGGGGCTGACCCAGAGCTAGGGAGTCACTGCCCAGGAGTGGGAAGAGCACAGAGGAGTGGTGGCTAGAGCTAGGACATTTCTAGGCCTGAGGTCTATGGTTCACGCCCCTGCCACACTGCCTGCAGTCTAGTGAGCAGGCATGTGATTCAGGTCTAGGGCCTCTGGAGGGTGACATTACCAGGAAATGAAAGGGTGGTAGAGCCTGGGGCTGAGGGGGTGATGTCCAAGATTGTGTCTCCGGGTGAGGGGTCAGTGTTCAAGAAGGTATCTATGGTCAAGGAAGTGGTATCCAAAGTTGTTCCTGTGGCTCAATGGTCAGTGCCTCTGGCTGAGGGACTGGTATCCCCACCTGATGGAGTCGTGTCTGGGGTGTGGGGACGACAGTGCATCCAGTTGTAGGCAATATCTCTAGGATAGCCTTTCTCTACTCGAAGCTGCCAGTTGAGGCCCCAGTACTGTTTGTCCTTGAAGAAGTAGACACGGCCATCTCGCCAACTAATAGCAGCTGAGGGCTGGTCTGGCACTCCCGTAAATAACCCCTTGATTGGTTTGGGGTAGCGGCTCAAGTCATTTCGGGCCAGCTCGTCCCACTGCCAGTACCCGGAACCCTGAGTGTGGGGTAGATAGGGAGAAGAGGAGGATGAGAAGAAAGCTTAGGGACCCCCAGAGGTCCACCCCCAGGCTGCAGCAGCCGAGGAAGGTCTCCCTTCAAGAGCAAGTCTGCTTCTCGGTGCAAGGTGACCCGCCCCTAATAAGACGGGATTTGCCCTTGCTTTGAGCTTTATACCTTAAAGAGGAACACCTTTTTGTTGCGAGGCCAGTAAAGAGCTGCATCCAGGTTGGGTTCTACTCCACTCAGAATCTTGGGGAAGCCAGGAGACATCCTGAAATTAATGTAGCGCCATACCTTGTTTCCTGAGAGCATGTAAGGAAAGAACAAGTCACCTCTGTCCTCAGGTGATAGCTTTCGGTTCCTCCATTCCACCCTGTCAGAAACTTCTCATCTCTCCCTCTCTTTTATGGCTTCTTTGATGGCAGGCCCTCCTCAGGTAACACACCGTAAACTAGTCCCCTTACCCTTAAAGAAGTGAATCCATTGTGTTCGAGGAGAGTAGACAGCAGCATCCAGGTTTCCTGGGAGCCCCTCCCAAAGGGCAGACACTTGGAACAAGGGACCCAGCCCTGAATCCGTCACAGTCCACACATAATTCCCCTTGAAGGCATAGGTCTTCCCACGGGGCCCTGAGAGCAAAGGGGTGTCAACAAGTCAAAAAGACAGGGATCAAATAAAGACTTGTGGCTATCTCAGGCAGGCTGATTCCTCAAAGCTTCATTCAACTTTAATTCAAGGAGAAGATTTAGGGCAGAGAAGGAGGACCCAGTGTTCCCCTTTATTGTTCAGAGCAATTCAGCTCTGGTCCACTCAACAAAACAAAGGCCCTGCAGATATCTGCTCCCCTTTGGGGACCCCAGCTTCCAACCCAAGTGGCTTCCAAGTTGTCCTTCGATGCAGGTATATAAGACCTTCTGTAATAGACATTCAAGTTAATATTTCTTTTGTCCATCTTTATTTCCAGATGTGTTTTAGTGGCCCTTATAAGGTGGCAACCGAGATAAATGCCTGCCTGGCCCACCTTTAATTTGGCTGTGAACCCTCCCTCCCCATGCCACATGCCTTCCTCCATGGCCACTAACCGATGCCTGATGTCTAACTTCTATTGATCATTCTAAGGTCCCATGTCACTCCTATTTGTCCAGGTCTCAAGGTCAGCAGGCTGCCTGCACTGCCTGCCTACAGCCTGGAGAGGAAAGCCTCACCCAGCATCATGGCATCCACTTCTCCACTGCAGGGGTCTGGCATGGGACTGGGTTCTGTGGGCACTTGGGGTACAGTGGAGGTCTCCATCTCTTCTTCCTCATCCCCTATCCCTGGGCTCTTCTTGCCTGTAAGGTAACGTAATGCTGCTCAGGAAGAGAACTCGGAGCGCCTGGCCTCCCCACTCTTCTGTAAATTCTGCTCAGAGGCCCCATAGAGAGAGAGGAGAAGGGAATTCTGGAGAGTGTCCCTTCATGGGAGGCGCGATCATATTGACACCAGCAGGAGACGTGTTTTAGTTTTGAAAGGGGGAAGGAGGTTTGCTGGAATGTTCATTCTTCATCCCCAAGAGTGGGTGTGTGGGGAGAGAGGACTGGAAGGAAGATTAGATATGGAAGTGTCAGGAAAACAGCTCCTGAAAATGAAGAAGCCTGAATAGCTGGGCAGGAGGAAGAGAAAGAAACCAAGCCATTTCTCTCCACGGAGATCAGACTTGTCTCTTCAAGCCTGAAGAGATGCTTGTCAGAATGACCCTCATGATCACTAGGGGAAAGAACTGACCATAGAGAGCCTGGATCCCTGCCACATCATCTGGGTGCAGCTTGAAGTGGGGCCGGTAGCCAGCGTAGACAGGGGCCATGAGGGCCTGGGTATATCGGGAGTGCCCAAGCCCCAGGGCGTGGCCCAGTTCATGTGCTGCAATGATGCGCAGGTTCACCCCCCGGTAGGTCCTCTCAGTCCAGAGCTCGTCTTCGTCAAAGTGGACGCTGCCCAGCTCTGGGATGTCAGCATGGGCCAGGACCCTCCCTGGACAAAGGCAAAGTGACAGGAGGGAGGTCAGAGTCTCCTAGGCTGGAACATCCCCTGCCTGTTATAAACTCCAATTACTCCATTCCCTTAAAATTCCCCCATCTATATTCACTGTCTCTTGGATGCCTCTCTCTCTCCTTTCAGATTCCTCTATCATCATCCAAGTTCTCTCAGGGGTGCCCATCACTCTGTCCCTTTACCTCGCAGCCACTCTCTCCTCTCTGGTCCAGTCCTCTTTGAGGTGTGCCTTCAGGAGGGGATGTAAACCAAGGAAGAAGGCATGAACTTCAAAGGGGAGGCTTGGTAAGGCCCAGGAGGTGACCAACTGCTCCCCAAGGGAATGTTAGCAGGTGGTTAGAGAGTGTAGGTACAGTCAGGCATAGGGCACAGACTGAACATTAAGATTCCAGAGTCACTGGCTCAAGGGGACAGAGGTAATCTTAGGTCCGTAAGGTGGGAGCCCACAGCTGGTGCCTACCAGGCCCATCAAAGTCTTTGGAGCAGTACAGGCTTTGGCGACCATGGAAGGAGAGGCGGATGTCAGCCCAGCCAGCATGCACCTCCTGGAAGGTCAGGGGGGTCACATCGCTCCAGTATTGGAAGGCTTGAAGCAGGGCTTCCCGGGCTGTGTGGGCTGGGAGGGTGGAGGGCAGGTTCAAGATGCGGAATTTCAGGTGCTTCTTTCTCCAGCGACCTAGTTATCAGACCAGAAAAGAGATTAGAAACACAGATCCTTCTGCCAACCCCAGCGGACTCCCCTGAGTCTGGGGACTCACTCAACAAAGCTATGTAACAACCCCTCCAGGCAAGTGATGATCAGGTAACTACCAGGCGAGCATCCATCAACACTGAGCTGACACTGTCCCGACGCCACCCCTACGCCAGAGCCATGCCACCCTTTTGTCTCCCTCCCTTTCCCGGGCTCAGTCCTTACCCAGCAGCAGGTATTTAAGGGTCCTCTGGTTGAAGGGGTCCTCTAGGCCACAACGTGGCTGCCTCATGCGCACCCTTGTGGCATCATCCAGCTGACCTGAGACTGGCAGCTCAGATGCTTCCTGAAAAGCTCTGAAAAGAGGGAAAGGGATGGATCCAGCAGGGCAGGGCTATATGGAGTGACTGGGAACTGGCGATAGCTCGTTAGCCCCCTGCTGTCCAAGGTGGTGGCTGAGAATGGCACAGAATCTCTGAAGATGTTGGGGTCACTCCAGTATCCAGTCCTTATAATCGGGACTTTCCCTTCTGTTCTGCAGAAACGACGATACTCCAACTTTACGCCCCCATCTTCAGTCTTGTATTCAGGTAAGGTTCCCCTCACTTCTTGCCTTCTTCCTCTATTGCAATTTCTAACCTTCTCCTGCTCTGGGGAAGTGTCCCACCCCCCTGCTCTGGAGACTCTCCCACCACTGCTCCCACCTGAGGGCCTGTCCTCCCTCAGCCTTCTCCCTGCTGGCTGGACGCCCCCCCCCCCCCCCCAAGCCCTGCCTGCTCTGGGGCAATGTCATCCATCAGGTACTGCAGGCACTGTGGCTTTTCAAGGGACTCTGAACATATCTAAGAGCAGAAAGAAAAATGATCCATTAGATCCAAAATATGAAAAGAAAACTTCAAAATAGAAATAAGTGCCGAATTAAATGTTTACAAAAGGTATCATGTCAACAACTCCACTCCAACTCAACTTATAGTTTAACATATAAATTATACTTCATGTGGGATATGACTAAATATTAGTATTTGGGATACAGTGTGGGACAGAGCCTCCAAAGGAGTGCTTAGGGCCTAGGAAGATCCAACGGCTGTGCTCCTCATCTTGGAATTC